TGCAACTAAATTCATGAAGGAGAAATTGTGTGTAAGTCCATATCAATACTTTTTATTCACCACCTCTTTCTCACATAACCATGCAATGTATGACTGACTCCTATCACTCCTAGACATTTTACCTACTGATCACTCAGCAGGAAGGCACACTGTGGAGGATTAAATGCAAGAAATCCAAACTTTAACTGTGTTCTCCACTCTGAAGATAAAATGCATGAACTGAAAGGAAGGAGCCTGAATGCCTTGTCCTGGCTCTGTTGCATACCCATACACAGTGTCACCATCACAGTTTCAGATATGGCACAACAATTTTAGAAGTGGTTTCTCTGTGTGAGGAAGATAAGATATCTCTGTGTGATAAGGTCAGAATTAAAAAGAACTTAACATCTAGGCCAGTGCTTTCCAATTTACAGTTGTCAAAACTGAGAATTCGAAAGGAGAGCAGCTTTTACATGTGTCTGTCCCTCTCAGAAGAGACTCCATCTATCCATCTTTATATTGAGTCCATGGACCAATCTTCAACAGAGTTCTAGTTTAGACCTCTATGGTCAGACTCCAGAGGGTGAGGGGAGAGTCTAACCCACCGTGGGTGATACTGTCCTTGAGGTGTTCATCCTGGATTTTATCAAAAGCAGGCTGAGTAATCCATGAAGAGCAAACCAGTGAACAGCACCCATCTAAGCCTCTGTAATGACACCTGCCTCCAGAGTCCTGACATGTTTGAGTTCCAGCCCTGACTTCCTTTAAGGATTAACAGTGCTGTGAAAATGTAAGCCAAATAAAGCTTTTCCTATACAACTTGCTTTTTGATGGTGATATTTCATTTCAACACTAGAAACCCTAACTAAGATAATGCATTCTTCAATTCTTTCTCGGTCAGTGACTTGGGCTCCCCCCTTGAGCAATAGATGCCAAGAGCTCCCTTCAGGCATCATGACTGGAACCATCCTCAGGGCAGCAGAGCTAGTGATAAAGATTTCTCCTATCAAAAACTGTTGAGCAAACAAGAGGTTCTCATCTGAGACAAATATCTCCAGAGGGTTACTGGCCACTGACCACATATGTGGTCTGCTTTGGAAGTATTCTTAATATCTAAAGGGCCCACTCTTGTTGGATGTCACAGGGATCTCAGGAAACAGAGCCTGGGACTATCGTGTGTGTGTGTACTGAGCCTTGAGGGACCTGGAGAAATTCTGTTCTTTCCCAGTTTCAATGAATCAATCATATCTTTTTGATGAGACACATTGGAGGTTCACCCTCCCACCTGAGGTATCAACAGGGCTGGGCCATGATGACAGAGTAGGTTTACCTTCAATGACCCTTAGTAAAAAGAGGACACAGCCTATTAACTGATACATTGGCACCAGCAGTTGGACTATAGGCCAAATCAATATATTTCCTGAGGAAAAATGTTGAGGACATGATGTGCTTCATCTCACAAATAACATGGGAGATATCAGGAAAGTTATCCATGCAGTGTGTCTTCTCAACTGATGGAATAAATACCTGTTTTCTATCAAGAGAGCTGGGAATGGATGTTGTTAATAACCAGGGGACCATGTATCTGTAGCTCCAGACATCACCTGAATACCCCAGAAAGTTTATCCTAGACTCTGTCTCCCTAGACTTTTTCATTAGCTCTCAGTTAATAAAGTCCATCTTAGGCAAGATGTGCTATATACTTTATAGCCTGCTGACATGTACACTATGTCAGTCATTGACCACACTAGATTAAAGGCCCTTTAGCTATAAAATCCATCTTCATGGTCACATTTGAGTTGAGTTTTGATGCAATAAATCCTAGGTGTTCACTGGATTTTCTATTACACCAGGGATCCTTTTTTTTTTTCCAATTTCGTACTGTGTTTAAACTTGCTTACAATCAACCACATGGTGTCATACATTTTAGAAGTGTGTAGCAGCAAGTATTATGTTAGTGTGATCAAACTTTTCCTTGTTATTGCATGTAGGCAATATTCTCCCAAGAAAGAGCTTTCAGGGACCCACACACAGAAAATGTGAAGATTTTGACCCTTATTTTCCACAGACCTGTCACCACCAGCTCCAGGGTGTCACTGTGCTGTGTCCACCAGCAGAGTTATAACACTAAGAGTGATATCGCCCTGCATTATGCTCTCTCATTAATGGAATGATAAGCTTGGCCTTGTGATCAGGCAATGGTGCAGTTAATCTGCACCAGGGTGCTGGGCTTCCTTCCTTATACACAATATATATTTGTGTTTCCATGACACCAGATTGTCACAGGATTCCCTGAGGTGATCACAGAGCCTGGCGCAGCCCGGATGCTGGGTTTCTTGAGGGTCCCTACAAAGAAGTAGGTGATAGGGATGTGGGACTTTAAACAGTTGCACAGTGGATATGATACTTGGACTGACCCTTGAATAACAGGAAGCATGGAGCCCTCTGAAGACCCTTCTCTCTCTCTTTCACCTCACCCTCCCAAGTTCCCTTTTCAGAACACCCCTCATTGGTTTCTGTACATTGACTCCCATAATCTGTATGCTGGCCCATATGTGGGCTGAGGAACCTTTACTTCCCTGTACTTATCACACATTATGGTCTCCTGGGTAAACATGTTTCAGGTTCAGTGTCTTTCAATAGGGAGCCTGGGGCTTCCTCACCTGAGACTAGAAGCTCCAGGATGTCACTCCCTTCTGACCACACTTGAGGCTTGCTTGCATGATAACCATAGCATCTGAAACTCCATTTTTCACTGAGTGTGATGGGACTCACTTGGAATCTGGCTGGAGACAGCCCATCATATACATATTGTGAGTCCATGGAGCTGTAGAACTGCTCATCCTTAATTAAAATGAACCTATCATATCTCTGATTTGAGGTACATGAGAGGGTCACAGATCCTCCTAAGATTACAACAGGGTTTGGCAGGGCAGACAGGGTGGGTTTGTAGTAGACACCTAAAAGAGATACATATGGAATATTAAATGAGTTCACACAGTTTGGATTGTCCCCCAAACCTAAGTAATGAGTGGGGATACATTCAGAGCAAACTTTTCTAAAGAGTCACATTTAGGAATTCATGTGATTTCTGAGTAATGACTCACCTGTCACCACCAGCTCCAGGGCGTCACTCTTCTCAGTCCACCCAGCAGAGTTATAACAGTAACAGCGATATCGCCCTGCATTATTCTCTCTCATGGATGGGATGATAAACTTGGCCCTGTGATCAGGCACTGGTGCTGTCAATCTGCTCCTGGGTGCTGGGCTTCCTTCTTTATACAGGAAATACATTTGGGTTTCCATGGTTCCCTCACACCAGATTGTCACAGGATTCCCTGAGGTGATCACAGAGCCTGGCTCAGCCCACATTCTGGGTTTTGGGAG